AACCTTTATAACTTGTACAGTAATTGGGTGTGTAATCTGTCTTCTATCACCGTCTTCTTCCTTTCAAACTCCGAACTTCAGAATATTCCTTATCCACATTCTAAATCTATTACTTTTGTGAACAGTATCTCTCTTCTTAAGCGCTTACAGTTTTCATGATCATCATTACTGAGAGATATTCATCACTTAATGTTTATAGGTTATGTAAGACTACTCAACTAAGTTTCGTAATTTATTCATATTTTTTTTTATTATCAAGTGATTTTATAATTAACCTTTATAGGTATTCCCATGACATTTCAAAAGACAGCATAACTGAGCGGCCATGAAGTGAAGTTACAGAAAGTATTTTCTTTGCTGATCTACATCCTTTTAGTTAGTATAGAATCAAATGACCTTATATTTTTATAAGTTTTCATTTAAATTTGAATGGAAAATGTCCAGATATAAAACATTATTAATATCACAAAGGGGCATTGTAATTCAGTAATTGTAATCCAATCCAAACGGTAGGGAATCATCCGTATTCCACGACCAACAATTACCACATTCTTTTTGTTGAAACGGAAATTTTAAACTCATTTCGCGTAGTGTAAGCTACCTTACTGCACTGTTCATAGCTTGAAAAGAAGCAGTTTACTACACGTATTCAACACTGGTTAATAATTTATGCAGATGACAATTCTTTAAATTTAGAAAACATCTCTTAAGGTATAATTCGAAGCAGAATGAAGCACCGTACTGTGTTATTCAGTCTAAAAGCAACCCTACATACATAATGAAAACGCTTTAATTAGCATTGACTGTCCCACACCTGGGTCTTTTGCCATTCAATAGTTATTTTTATTAATATAGACCCACTTTAAGTCACTGAAGTCAACAGATACCCTTTTTATTATAACGGTAACTGTGTATAAAAAATTACGCGTATCTACAGCAGCAGTTATATATTATCCATACGGATCATGAAGTGGACACCACGAAATCCTTTAGAATTATCGATAGACGCCATAGCTGAAATCTCCTCAAGCTTTCCAAAGCAATCGGTATCAAACGCCTGAAACTCGATTTATGTGTTCAGAGATAAAAGGTAGCCAGTTTTTACTTGTCCTGTAGTGTAATTTTGCTTGTCTTTTTCTCCCAAAATTAAATTGAACTCACCTCATTGTTAATCAATTTATTAGTTACTCGTCATCTGAGTAACCTCTTATCTTTATTACGTAACTCTTTTGTCAGTGTATCCAAGCGATTATTTTTGTTTAAACGTTAACTTTCTGTTTATAAACT